CCCATGCGGGCCGGGCCCCGCCCCCCGCCCCGAGCCCGCCGCGCGCCCGCACCATGCTCAAGTGCATCCCGCTGTGGCGCTGCAACCGGCACGTGGAGTCGGTGGACAAGCGGCACTGCTCGCTGCAGGCCGTGCCCGAGGAGATCTACCGCTACAGCCGCAGCCTGGAGGAGCTGCTGCTCGACGCCAACCAGCTGCGCGAGCTGCCCAAGGTGAGCAGTCGCCGCACCTGCCGCGGCGGCCGCCGGCCACGGAAGCGAGGGGCTGGGCCGGCGGCCCGTCCGAGCCTTCAGCTGGTGCTGGCCCGAGCGAGGTGCCGCAGCCTCCAGCCGGCCCTGCTGGTTCTTACTGGCCAGAGTCCCTCCTTGGCCAGCCCCACCCTCCCCTCCCAGCCGCCTGCGCTGGCGCCAGGTGGCAGCGGACGTCAGGTGCCTCCCGGGTGGTCACGGAGCCTGGAGGAGGAGCTGCGGGGGGAAACCCGTGAGGAGGGGGGCGGGAGGCCGGCGATCAGGGAGGAAGATGCACCTGAGGTGACTGACGGACACTGGCTTGCCGGCAGGTGGGAGGCCTGGCCTTCTCCCTGACCGCTCTCCTTTTCTTCCTGGGTGCGAGGATGCGGTTCAGTTTCCTGAGGTGTTCAGCCCTGTCAGGTCTGCTCTGTGCTCATCTCTCTCTGCCGAGGGGGTACCTCTCGGTACCCTCATCTCTTCGTTTGCTTTCCTTCTTACGAGCCTGCTCTAGCAGAGAGGTTAAAGGAAGCTGGTCATAAAGCATTTCCTTCTCATGCTAGGTGCTGAGTGTGGGGGGCTGTGTGCCACAAATGGTGGCCCTGCACAGCCTGGCCGTGATGGTTCTGTTCTTCGTGGTCACCTATAGGTCTTACGTGTGCTATCTGCAGTACCTGCGTGCAGTACCGTGCATGCATGGGGAGTTCTGCTATTTCCATTCATGTTCTTTTGGTGATTATGTGCTGAGCTCTCCAGGCCCAGGCCGGGCTTACAGGTGGGGTTCAGTAGCAGGAACCTACCTGGACTCTCAGAGGGCTCATCTGCTGGTGGAAGCAGTAGTCCAGGTGGTGGGTGGAGTCCGGAGGTAACTGCAGATCAGGGTGCCGGAGGTCTCATCCAATCAGGAGCAGTTAGCTTCCCAGCTGGGGTTAGTTCCAGGGGAGGGGCACATGTGAGATAGCACAAAGGGATGCAGCCTCAAGGAAGGACTTGGGCACAGTGGGTGTGTGACCTGTGTGTCTTCATGTTTTCCTCATTGCAAGCTGGGATGTCATGGCTGGACCCCAGGACCCTGTGTGACCTAGAGCAGGCAGAGGTCCGGGGACCCACGACTCGTGACCCCATGCATGCTCTTTTCTACTCTGGAGAGGTGTTTTCCACGAGTCACTCCTCCCACACCCACCTCTACTTCTCACAGCCCTTCTTCCGGCTGCTGAACCTGCGCAAGCTGGGCCTGAGTGACAACGAGATCCAGCGGTTACCTCCTGAGGTGGCCAACTTCATGCAGCTTGTGGAGCTGGATGTGTCCCGGAATGGTGGGGAGCCCAGGCGGGGGCCGGGGTGGAGCCTCGGGGGTGGCTGGAGGGGCCCGAGAGTGGGGCATCTCTCCACGGTGACCCTCCATCACAGACATCCCTGAGATACCAGAGAGCATCAAGTTCTGTAAGGCTCTGGAGATCGCAGACTTCAGTGGGAACCCCCTGTCCAGGTGGGTGGCAGCCTGTGCTGGGGGTCGGCAGTGGGCTGTGGGAGGTCGAGTAAACCTGGTCTGGGCATCTGAGTCCACTGCTTTCTCTGCCCAGGCTCCCTGATGGCTTCACTCAGCTGCGCAGCCTGGCTCACCTGGCCTTGAATGACGTGTCCCTGCAGGCGCTGCCTGGGGACGTGGGCAAGTGAGTGACCTGTTGGGTGGAATGGGTCGGAGAGTGGGCTCATCCCTGTGGTGACCCTGCCCTCAGCCCCTGCCTTCTCACTGTTTGGCCCCATTTCTCTTCCAGCCTTGCCAACTTAGTGACCCTGGAGCTCAGGGAGAACTTGCTCAAGTCCCTGCCTGCGTGAGTGTGCTGAGCCTCCGCCCAGCGGCTGGGGTGGAGCTGTGGCCTCAGGGCCTGGAACCATGTGGTCACACTGTGACTCTGTTTCTTTTGCAGGTCTCTCTCTTTTCTGGTCAAGCTGGAACAGCTGGATCTGGGAGGCAACGATCTGGAAGTGCTGGTGCGTTGGAGGCGCGGCTGGAGAGTGGAGTAGGGGCAGGCTGGTGTGGGTTGGGCTATGGGTGTGGGCGGGGTCCAGGATGGGGCCATTTGGGGCCAAGCAGAAGTACCTTTCCTGCTCATTCTCATCCCTGTCCCTGTCCTTTCTTGCAGCCTGACACTTTGGGGGCTCTGCCCAACCTAAGGGAGCTGTGGCTAGACCGGAACCAGCTGGCAACACTGCCCCCGGTGAGTGAGGGCAGGGCCAGCCTTCTGCCTTGTGTGCAGCAGCTCTCTGACCCTCTGCCCGCCCTCAGGAGCTTGGGAACCTGCGGCGCCTGGTATGCCTGGATGTGTCGGAGAACCGTCTGGAAGAGCTACCCGTGGAGCTTGGAGGGCTGGTGCTGCTCACGGACTTGCTACTGTCCCAGAACTTGCTGCAGCGGCTGCCAGACGGCATTGGTCAGTGCCCGCCCAGAGGAGTGTGGGGCAGGGAACAGGAGGAGCATGGGGATCTGGATACCCTTACCGGGTGGCTTTGCTGGATCTTAAGCCAAGTGCCAGGAGGTGGTCCTGATGTGAGGAACCTGACCTTGCCTAGGCTCTGAGAGACATCCCTGAGGAAGGGGAGGAGGTTGTGCCGAGGTCTGGGTGCAGTCGGTGCAGTAACAGTGTGCCCCACCCAAAGAGTTGGGGCAGCTCATGGTAGCAGAGCAGGGGTGGTGGAGTTTGTAGCGTGGGCAGTAGACAGAGCTGTGAGGGCCCGGTTTGTCTTCTCCAAGGTGGTCAGGCATGCTTGGCCAGGAGAGGTTTGCAGTGGGAACGTGGGAGGAGCGCGGGCAGGTCTGGGGGCAGGTCAGGGCTCTCAGAGTCGTCCGGAAGAGCAGCGACAGGTGAAGCTCCTCAGGCTGTAGCTGCTGAAGGCCTGTCTTTGCTGCATGGGTGGTCGGGTATTCAGGATATGTCTTGGGCTTTAATCAGCCCTGTCACCATGTCTCCCCAATGCCAGGTCAGTTGAAGCAGCTGTCTATCCTAAAGGTGGACCAGAACCGGCTGTGCGAGGTGACCGAGGCCATCGGTGACTGCGAGAACCTCTCTGAGCTGATCCTCACGGAGAACCTGCTGACGGTAGGGCCAGCGCTGGCAGGCAGTTGCTGTCAGCTCCCTGAGAGCTTGGGCAGCAGAAAGGATTGGGGATTGAGGGGCATGCAGAGTGAGGGCAGGGTGTTGGCACATAGCAAGAGCTCAGGGGTTGGTGGCAGTGTGAACCTGTGCATGCAGGTGGGTGCTGGTGGCCTGGCTCATAGGAGCTGATTTGGAGGGGCACTTTCCTGGTCAGAAAAAGGAGTTTACCAGTAGGAGATAAGGTGGTGCTCAGAGGGGCTGGAGCAAGGGCCCGTGACAGTCAGGGCCAAGAACTTGAGCCCTGATATGTAGTGTGGCACCAGGGAAAGACGGAGGATGGAGAGAGGAAAACAGATTTGCACTTGGAGAGGATGGGCCAGGGGGACAGGAAGCAAGGCTGCACTGTAGAGGTGTGTGCTCTGTGCAGAGCTCAGCGAGGAGAGGCGCTGGGGACAGGGCTGGGGTGGCGGTGGCAAGGCCTGACTGAGGCTGGGTAGGCAGGACTCACCTGTGGGCAAGGTGCCCACATTGAGGCAAGAGGAAAAGTGAGCTCAGCTGGGAAGCACTGGGTGGGGGTGTCCCTGGGCAGGTAGGCTGGGCCTGGGGCCTGGGGAGCCTTGGAGACTAAGGAGCAGAGAGAGGCAGCAGCTGGTCGGGGTGCCAGGTGCACTCATGGGGTGTAGTGCCAGGATGTCAGCTGGGGCACCCACGGAAGAGTGCTAGGGTCGATGGGGTCTTGGTTTTGGGGTGCTTGGTAGTGGGGGCTGAAGGCTGATGGGAGCGGGCAGAGGTGGAGGTTAGTTTCCTGTCCAGGTTCAAGTTCAGGTCTCTGAGGGCTGTGAGGAGACCTGGCTGGAGCCGGCCTGCAGCCAGCCATGTGTGACATTTCACCTACCCTGAGGGGCTTTCGGCTCCCTCCCCCTGCAATGGGCTTCTGTCACTCCTAGCCCTTCCTCCTCTGGCCAGGCCCTGCCCCACTCTTTGGGGAAGCTGACCAAGTTGACCAACCTCAACGTGGACCGGAACCACCTGGAGGCGCTGCCTCCTGAGATTGGAGGCTGTGCGGCGCTCAGTGTCCTTTCCTTGAGGGACAACCGTCTGGCCACCCTGCCACCTGAACTTGCCCACACAACTGAGCTTCATGTGCTGGACGTGGCTGGGAACCGGTGAGTGCCTGCCTGGTCCCACGGACCTGGCCGTGTCCTGGATGGCGGCTGACTGTGCCCATCTGGTCCCCAGGCTGCAGAGTCTGCCGCTCGCACTCACCCACCTCAACCTCAAGGCTCTGTGGCTGGCTGAGAACCAGGCACAGCCCATGCTGCGCTTCCAGACGGAGGATGACGCCCAGACTGGCGAGAAGGTGCTCACCTGCTACCTGCTGCCCCAGCAGCCCCTGCCCAGCCTCGGTAGGTGGCTGGTGGCTCTGACTCGGGGGTGGGTGTGGCCTCAGGCACTGCTGGGGGACCAGCCTGGGTCCCTGACGCTTGCCTTCTATAGAGGATCTTGGGCAGCAGGGCAGCCCCTCAGAGAGCTGGAGCGATGCCCCCCTGAGCCGTGTAAGCGTCATCCAATTCCTAGAGGACCCTGCGGGTGATGAGGACGCCGAGGAGGCAGCTGCCGAGAAGCGGGTAAGGGGGTTGGGGACCCTAAGCTGTGCGCCTCTGCCTGCCTCACCTGACCCCTGCACTTCCTCTGCCCTCATCCCTGTCCCTCCTACAGGGCCTGCAGCGCCGGGCCACGCCTCACCCCAGCGAGCTCAAGGTGATGAAGAGGGGTGTGGAGGAGCGTCGGGGTGAGGCCTACTCCTGCAGGCCAGACCCCATGCCGCCCTCGCCCTCAGAGGAGGTGGGTGTGCAGGACAGCAGCCCCGGGTGTCCTGGTCATCCTGGGAGTGGGGCTGGTGGGCGGGTGGTGCGCTCACATGAAGCCTCATGCCAGTGCCTGCCGCAGGAGAAGAGGCTGAGCACTGAGTCCGGCCTGAGCGAAGGCTCTCACCCATCTGCCAGCACAACGTCCGGAGGAGAGCCCCAAGGCCCTCCGGATGGGGTGGAGGGGCTGGGTCAGCAGGAAGACATACCGGCTGGCCAGGAGGAGGATGCAGAGGAAGACTATGAGGAGGTGAGGACAGAGGGTGAAGGTCAGAAGCCAGACCTTGGCAGTCCCTCACCCTGTGCCAGAGCCTACCTAGCGCCCTTCTGAGCAGGTGTACAGTTGGGATCAGCTAGAGATAGTCTCTGGGCCATGCTAGTTACTGCCTTGATGAGGGTGGGACATGCAGGGGTCCCCTGCAGAGCTTGGCTGGGAAGCATAGGGTGGTGGCGTTCAGTGCAGCAGCTGTGCTGGAGGTGCCTGGGTGCCGCCCCAGGCAGAGGTGAGGGTCTCCACCCTACAGCCAGGCTTGGCATGGTCACGCCTATGTCTTGCATATTGTCCCGGGACTGGCTGGTCCCTAGCCCTTTCCCTGACCCTGACGGGTGTTCTCCATGTCAGGCCTCTGCACATCCCTACATTTTCACCCTGGGTGCTGCAGGATTTTCTAGGAAGGGTCCCCTGGTCCCTTGGCTGTCTCAGGGCTGAGATGTTGCTTGCCCTTCACTGGGCAGTCTCCTGAGTGTTCGTTCTTGGTGTGGTAGGAGCCTTGCAAAGCCTCTGTCACCCGTGCTATGCAGCAGGGCTTTTCTGGCCTGTCTGGACACTTGGCTATGGAGCCTGGCTTTGCTGGAAGGAGGGTGGGGGCTGGGGGCCAGGCCGCCATACTCATCCTCATGCCCACACAGCCCACAGTGCACTTCGCAGAGGACACGCTGCTGCCCAGGGAAGGTGGCGAGAGCGAGGTGGGGGCTGGGGGCCAGGCCGCCATACTCATCCTCATGCCCCCACAGCCCACAGTGCACTTCGCAGAGGACACGCTGCTGCCCAGGGAAGGTGGCGAGAGCGAGGAGGGACAGCTCGAGGCACCCTGGCCCCTGCCGGGCGGGAGACAGCGGCTTATTCGCAAAGACACACCTCACTACAAAAAGCACTTCAAGATCTCCAAGCTTCCCCAGCCCGAGGCGGTTGTGGCCCTCCTGCAGGGGATGCAGCCCGACGGGGAAGGCCCTGCAACACCTGGGGGATGGCACAACGGCCCCCACACGCCCTGGGCTCCCCGGGCCCAGGAGGAGGAGGAGGAGGAGGAGGACAGGGCCGAGCAGGAGGGCGAGGCCACCACGGAGGAGGAGGAGGAGGACAGGGAGGAGGCCGCAGCTCCTGTGCCTTCCGTCAAGGTGGGTCTCCGCCACACTTCTGCCTGCTGCAGGCGCCCCTGGCCCTCGCGGAGTACCTGCAGATGTGACGGAGAAGCGTGGAGTCCCAGTCCTGCTCTTTGACTGAGCTCTGTGGGTCGGGAGAAGGGTGGCTGCGTCCACACTGCAGCTGGCGTGGAGGTTGCCGTGTGCTCCTCGTGGCAGCCCCTGCATCTGGGCCAGCGTCGTCTGACGTGCTGCCTGGTGAAAAGGGGCTCACAGGACTTGAGGGCGTGCTCTCCACCTCTCCTGGGCCTGCAGGGCCTGTGTGCATGTGCAGTGGGGCTCAGGCAGGGTCTCTTCCTCTCCTGGGACCACTCCAGGCCGAAGCCCCACTGCTGGACATGGGGCTCCGTGCCAGGCATCTGCGGTCACACTCCTGCTGCCCTTCCTGGCTCTTCTGCCTTGCCAGGCTCTCCTGAGGCTCGGGGCAGACCCATGGGGTGCTAGTATGTCCTTTCCTGGCCTTCACATTTGCTCTCGGTGACTCACGAGTGGTGTCTGCTCACTGTAGACACTCAGATGGCAGGGAGAGCATGGGGCTGCCCACAGGCTCCGTCCTCCTTGCTCCCCACAACCCCCTTACCCTGAGTACAGGCTGATGACACGTGATGGCCGAGCACTCCAGAGTCAAGTCCAGGACAGCCAGGCCCTGGCTCAGCCCCGCTGTGGAGCTCTCCACCCCCTGCCAGCCGGGTCCCTCCCATCCATGTCGCAGTGTCCACTCCCATCTCCAGACCAGAGGGGACCCTGCGCCCAGGGCAGCACCAGGCCAGGCAGGAGGAGCCACTAGGGCCGAGGGAGCTTGGCGTGGCCTTTCTTCTGTCCTTTCTGCTAGTGGCGGGGCTGGGTGAGGTGGTGGTGTCCCGGCGGTGGCTAACCTGCATGCCTCGCTGGTCCTATCCTGACAGGGGGTGTCGTTTGACCAGGCCAATAACCTGCTGATAGAGCCTGCTCGCATTGAGGAGGAAGAGGTCTGTACTGCTCGTGCTGCTCGCTGCACTCTGGTCCCTGGGCTGCTGCTGTCCTTGCTTTGCGGGCTGTGGGCTCTCGCCTCTCCCCTCCGCTCAAGCACAAGCCCCCTCCCAAAAGCCCTCCCAGGAGCTGCCACAGAGCTTGGTCCTGGGCCGACACAGCCCTTGGGCTATGGGGCCTCTGGCAGGGGCAGAGCCAGTCTCAGCAGGGGCGAGTGAGGTTCCGGGCCATCTCCTGTCTTTCCACCTGGGGGCTGTGAGCCTTGAGGTGGCTCCGACTGCAGAAGCAACATCAGCCCTAACCTGGGGTAGGGTGGCAGGACCTCTGGCCCTCATCACCCAGAGGCGGGCAAGCCCTGGACTCCCTGGCTCTGCTGTGGCATCGCCCACCCTGTCCCAGGGTCTCAGGGCCTCCCTAGCTCCTCTGTTCTGCTGTGCTGGTGCTGGCAAATGGGTGTGAGACCTGGTGCAGCTGCCAGGGAGGAGCTGGAGGAGGTTGTCAGGGTGCCAGCCCCTCCTCATCCCGCCCCTCCCAGACACCTGTGTCTGTGTGTTTCCAGCTCACACTTACCATCGTGCGGCAGACCGGGGGCCTGGGCATCAGCATCGCTGGGGGCAAGGGGTCGACGCCCTACAAGGGTGATGATGAGGTGAGCGGCCGCCTGGGGCCACTGCCAGGTCCCTATCACCTGCTTTGCCCTGACGCTGTCTCTCACGCATAATCCCGTTCTCCAAGGCCTGTTGCTTTTTTGAGGGTCGTTGGGTGGCCTCCTCAGACCTCACAGCTCATTTCTGCATGCTGGCACTTGGGCCCCTGGTAGAGAACATGCACGGGTGGGCCCAAGGCACTAACTGTCAGAAAGCTGACCCTTCCGAGACCACGTGTGTATGGGGGGCTTTAAAGTGTGAGAGCAGCTTAAAGGGCAGGCCTGGGTCTTCCGTGTCCTTCTGCAGGCTTCTTTGCCGGGGGGGTGGTGTCGAAAGCCTTCTTGGGGGGTTGACCTGCATCATCCAGCTCTCTGGCACTCGAACCCCACAATGGCATGAACATAGCTCCTCTGACCCCCAGGCCCACTCTTCCCCTTCCCACGCCCCTGTGGGTCTTTGTGGCTTCTCCAGAGAGTAGCCTAGGGCTGGATCTGCTGAGAGCGGGTCTCTCTCTGGGGGTGTCTGGGCTTTTCATAGATGCCATGGTATCCTCCCAGAAGGGGTGAGACAGAGGGCCCACCCTCCTTGGCCTCTGCCATGCTCCGTGCACAAGTGTCTGTTGTCCCCCAGGGCATATTCATCTCTCGGGTGTCTGAGGAGGGCCCTGCAGCCCGGGCTGGTGTCCGAGTAGGCGACAAGCTCCTGGAGGTAAGCCAGCAACCCCTTGGCCACTAAGTGGTGGATGTACCCTTTTTTTTTTTTTTTCCTTTTTGTCTTTTTTACTGACCGGTAAGGAATCGCAACCCTCGGTGTTGCGCCCGCACCGTGCTCAGCCAGTGAGCGGGAACCGGTCACCACATAGGATCCGAACCCTCAGCAGGAGCGCCGCCACGCTCCCAAGCGGCGCACTCTCCAGTGCGCCACCGGGCCGGCCTGTGGATGTGCCCTTTGAGGTTTACACAGTCCTGGCTGTTGGGGTGCTTGGTTGTCTCCCCCTCATGAGGGGGCCCACTCAGGAGGCCTGGCTGCCACCACCCGGGAGACCCCCCGCTGCATGGGAGGCATAGTTGGGGGTGCTGGCTGCACCAGCAGCACAGGCCTGTTGAGGAGGGACTGCTCCAGGGGCTGGCCTGAAAGGCGGTCAGACCTCCAGCAGGGCTGGTGGGGTGTGGTCCCCGTGTGAGAGCCTTGGAGTCCCCTCCTGGGCATGTGGCAGTCCAGCTTGGGCAGGAGCGAGGGCAGGTGCAGGCCAGGGGGGCTGATGCTGTGGAGTGTTCCTGCTTACCTCTCGCCCAGTCTTTATGAAGGCACTCTAGTCCCTCACAGGTTCAGGCGTGGTCCAGTCATCTGGTACTTTGGGTGTCCTGTGTCAGACAGCTCATATGAGAGGCAGGTGGTAAGAGGTGTCCGGAGTGGGGATGGGTGTGGACTGGCCGCAGGGACACATACATAGGTGACTAGTTTCTGGGAACCTGAGCCCACCAGAAGCCATGTGGCTGGAGAGCCAGGGTGAGTTTCAGAGCTCACCCTGTGCCTTGCTCTCACCATCTGTGAAGTGGCTGTGAGCAGAGCCTCTGTGAGTGTCAGCACCGTATTAGCATTTGGCTGTTGGGTGGCCACCGTTGGGTCCTGATGTGTGCCGTGGTCTCTGTCCCCACCCGCCTGCAGGTGAATGGCGTGGTCTTGCAGGACGCCGAACACCATGAGGCCGTGGAGGCGCTGCGGGGGGCAGGCACCGCCGTGCAGATGCGAGTGTGGCGGGAACGCATGGTGGAGCCTGAGAACGCGGTCACTGTCACGCCCCTGCGGCCTGAGGACGACTACAGCCCCCGGGAGCGGCGGGGAGGCACGCTACGCCTGCCCCTGCTCCAGCCCGAGGCCCCTGGGCCCCTCCGTCAGCGCCACGCAGCCTGTCTCATGCGCAGCGAAAAGGGGCTAGGTTTCAGCATTGCTGGTGGCAAAGGCTCCACACCCTACCGGGCTGGCGATGGGGTGAGGCATGGGGCCTGGGGCACTGGGGGTGTGGTGGTTTCTTCTGGAGCTGGGAGCAGGAAATGCCCAAGGCCTCCATGCCCCGTGCCCTTACCAACGGCCCAGCTCTCCTCTCCCCCGTAGGGCATCTTCATCTCCCGCATCGCCGAGGGGGGTGCTGCCCACCGGGCAGGCACTCTGCAGGTTGGCGACCGCGTCCTCTCGGTGAGTGGCGGTAGCCTACCTGCCTGTGTCTGTTCTGTTTGGCCCTTGGGACCTCCCTGACCTGGGTGCACTCTTACAGATCAACGGGGTGGACATGACGGAAGCCAGGCACGACCATGCCGTGTCCCTGCTGACCGCCGCCTCCCCCACCATCGCCCTGCTGCTGGAGCGGGAGGCCGGGGGGGCCCTTCCCCCAAGTCCCCCACCACGTTCCTCCCCACCCGTCACTGCTACTGCCACTGCCACTACAACCACCACCACCCCCGGGGACTCTGGGCTGCCAAGGCTGGCTCCCAGCCTGTTGGCTGCGGCCCTAGAGGGGCCATACCCGGTGGAGGTGAGACCCCTACCCATCTCCCACCCCTGTCTGGGCATCCGCACAGCTCCAGGTGTGGGGTACTGACCCAGGGGTTCGTCGGGGTACCCCTGCCCCACCCCCAAGGATCTGGCCGTGCTCTGTGCAGTTGCCCTGCCCCCTTGCAACCTGCTCCTCTCTGACTGAGGCCTTTCCTGTGTCTCCCCAGGAGGTCCATCTGCCAAGATCTGGAGGCCCCCTGGGGCTTAGCATCGTTGGGGGCTCTGACCATTCCAGCCACCCATTTGGTGTCCAGGAGCCTGGTGTGTTCATCTCCAAGGTAGCGTGGGCCTGGCCAGCAACTTTGAGCAAAGGGGACCTGTCCTGGGCCGGACAAGCGTGGCCACAGCCCACTGAATGCTGCCCTCCTCCCCAACAGGTGCTGCCGCGGGGCCTGGCTGCTCGAAGTGGCCTGCGGGTTGGGGACCGCATCCTGGCAGTGAATGGTCAGGATGTGCGGGAGGCCACGCACCAGGAGGCAGTCAGCGCCCTGCTCCGGCCTTGCCTGGAGTTATCCCTGCTCGTGCGGAGGGACCCACCTCCACCGGGCATGCGGGAACTTTGCATCCAGAAGGCCCCTGGAGAGAAGCTGGGCATCAGCATCCGCGGGGGTGCCAAGGGCCACGCAGGGAACCCCTGTGACCCCACGGACGAGGGCATCTTCATCTCCAAGGTGAGGGCTGCCTCATCTGGCCAAACCCCACACCCTCTGGATGCCGCTGGGCGGGTGCCAGGTGCAGTTCTCTCCCACATCGGCTCTCCCCACAGGTGAGCCCCGCAGGGGCGGCCGGGCGTGATGGTCGGCTGCGAGTGGGGCTGCGTCTGCTGGAGGTGAACCAGCAGAGCCTGCTGGGCCTGACCCACAGCGAAGCTGTGCAGCTGCTGCGCAGTGCGGGTGACACTCTCACCGTGCTTGTCTGCGATGGCTTCGACACCAGCACCACTGCAACCCTGGAGGTCAGTACCCTCCCCAGGGACCAGGCCCTGCCTCAGCACAGCCCTGAGAGGTGGTGGGGAGCTGACCCGAGTCTGGGGAGCATGAGGTGGTTCTGAGCTGGGGTGGGCTCTGGTCACCATGCTGTCTGGGGCTCTGAACAGACCACTGGCATGGTCCAGTCCTGAGAGAAGAGGTTGAGCCATTGGCCTCTAGATGAACAACACCTAAATTGAGTGTGGTCACTGAGGCGTGACAGGCAGGGCTCAGAGCCTTGCCTGGAGCACACCAGCCAAGGAGAGTCCTGTGCACGGGGCTTTGCCTGCAGATGTGCACAGTGGTCCCGGCCCCCTGCCCAGTGGCATCCTGCTCCTCTCAGCTGTCTCCAAGGCTTGGCTTGTCCGTGGGCCCTGGTTGGCCCCAGGCTGTCCCTCTGGGCAGCCCCTCAGCCAGGAGCTCACTCCCCAAGACCTTCCCTTTAGCTGCTGACCTTTCATGCTCTGCACCCAGAACCGAAGCCAAGACCAGGGTGGGGGGCGCAGGGTGGGTTCCCAGCTGTCCTCATTCCCTCGGCTGCCAGCTCCTGGTCCGGCCTTTGTCCTGGATGAGGCTTGACTCTGAGCCTCCGTGTCTCTTGTCTTCCACCTGCTGTCCCTGGGGCACCTCAGCACCTTCCTTCCGCAGGTCCAAATGGACCTCTATGTCGGTTCACCTGCGGTGGCCACCAGCTCTGCCGAGAGAGTCTATTGCTGTCTCCAGTGCAGGTGGCTATGTCACTGCTCCCTGCCACACATGTATGGCTTCTGCTCCTTGCAGCAACCTTGGGTGGGCTGGCCACCTCGAGTGGTTTCCCTGGATCTCTGGGTTGATGACTTACTGCCAGATGCCAGCCAGGAAGATACTCCAGGGCTGGCGGCCCAGACAGTACACCCTAACCTGCACTGTCATCATGGGTGACCCCCGTGGAAAGCGAGTTAGCATTGTATTTTTGGCTGCACAACTGAGACGCCAGGCTGGAAGTCACAGGAGCCACGCCCTACTCCCTGGGCTTGGGACTGGCCTGGTCTGGCCTCATCCCCACCACTCCAGCTGTCTTCAGGGGAGTCCTAGGGGGTTCTGAGGAGGAATTTCTCTTAGAGCTTTAACACATTTTCTTAAAGTTTTTACTCAGAGAATATCTTCTTGAGGGGGAGGGATCAAAGGTCCAGAAGAGAGGGAGCTGGTGTGCCTGTATTCACAGCCCAGCGTGCATCCATGTGGCCATGCTCTCTGGCTCATGCTGTTGTGATAGGGGTTATCCTTACTGTGTCTGGCGGGATGTGTCTGTGCCCACTGCCCAAGCCACCATTCGGGTGTCGCCAGTGAGCGTGCCCATGGGCACATCTGTGTGTGCAGGAGGGTTTCTGCAGGGAAGGTCAAAAGGTCTTAAACCTCACATGCTGGCTGGGTCACTGACCCGGCCAGGGACAGAGCCAGGCACCATTTCCACATCCTCCCCTGTGCTGGGGAGCGCAGACTGTGGTTTAGGTCAAGCCTGGCAGGAGCAGGGCAGCAGGCAGTGGGGGCCAAGAACCTTGGCTCAAGCCTCTCCTCTGCCCACCACTGCCGCCTCCTGTGCTGGCATTACTCTCAGGGTGTCTGTCTTCCATCTCCTGACGCAGCATCTCTTTTTACCATTGCAGGCTCCAACCTTCTATTGTACTGTTTCATAGAGTGCAGGTGTGTTTTTCTCCATCTGTCACCTGTTCATTGTTGTAAGGTTATAAAACATTGCCTTGTTTTCTTACTAGTGCTTCTATAATTTTTAAAAAGTACACTCTCTGTAGTTCACCTGGGACCATTCTTCAAGTGAGTGGATTCATAGATGTCCCTGTAGCATTCATCAGTCTGTTGTTTCCCACTGATGTGGGGAATGTGACTTCACTGCGTGTTCAATTTTCATGTGTTCTAGGGCTTATTTTTGGACTTGGTCCTAGTGAGCTGTGGGTCAGTCCTCGGGCCAGTGCCACACTGTTTTAGATGTTGTCACTTCATAGTGTGTTTTAACACCTAACCAACTAGTTGCTACCCACTTTCTTTTTTTCTTTTGAGAAGTTTCTGTCTACTGTCATGTGTTCTCACTTTCAAGTGAAACTGCTAAGTTCCATAACAAAAATTGCTTGGGTTGCTGGGATTGTAAGTTTTTCTCAAGTATATTCCTAGGTTGTTCTTGTTTTCTTATTAATTGTGATAACTACAATCAGCTGGCTTTGTTTCATTTCCTAGCGGAATCCGCGCTTCTGCAGTGAGGGCAGTGGGGTCTTCCTTTCTGATGCCAGGCCCTCCTGTGCTTGCTGGGCCCAGTGCTGTGGGGGATGGTGGTGGTGGCCAGTGGCTTTGCCTTGTGCCCAGCTTTAAGGGGCCATTTCATCCTGTAGTGTGATGTTTGCTGTAGTTTCTTTTACAAAATTTTTAAACTGGGGGGGCTGTTTCTACTTGAAACCTGTAAGAATTGTTACCTGAGACGGGCGTTGAGTTTCCTGAGGTCCTTTTGTCAGTTGTTCTGACATCTCGTGCCAAGATAGGGAGCTTCAGCCCCTGGGGTCTACATCAGCGAGCGTGGCACTTGAAGGAAAGAGGAGCTGTGCTTAGACATCGGGACTCTTCACAGCAGTGTCTGGCTTCCTGGCTTCTCGCACAGGAACCAGAGGACCTGGCACGGTTGGGCTCTGGTCCGAAGACCTTCTGTGTCTCTGAACCCTCCAGGGCACAGGGTGGGGGTGCTCACAATTCTTTGCTCACCCCATTTTTCTTAAACTCAGCCTTGGGACTTCTCTTTGTCAGCCTGTCTGGCCCCCGCTGGCATTGAGGTGCCACTGGACTCCACGCTTTCCTTTTCCTTCTGCCATCCAGTCCCTGTATTTGCTTAGGAGCTGGCCGGCTCTCTCCCCAGCACCCTGGAACCGTGGTCACAGGTAGGAGCGTTTGTGAGAACGTGCCTGCTCTGTGTTCTAGGTCTGGTGCATTTTTAGGGCTCCTGCACTGTCTTTATGAACTGGGTCTCACTTGTCCTAGGGCCTTGGGCCAGTGCCTGACCTCCCTTCTCAGCCTCCTTATCTGCAGCTCTTCCAGGTCGTTGGCAGAATTAAGTAAAGCAAACGGCACAGCATGCACCTGCCTCACAGTACTAGCCCCAGGCTCTCTGAGCAAATCTCGGTTAATGTGTATTTTCCAGGAGAACTCTTCACTTTACCATTCTCCATGTGATGTAAAGAAGGGAATAGCCCTGTTGCCCTTTGCTCCCCCTTCGTGATCTAGTTGCCTGTGTCGTCTTTTCCTCCTGGTCACACAGGCTGGAGTTTTATATATTTTAATGGCCTTGTCAAAGAGCCAGCTTTTGAATATCAATCAAGACTGCCTTCCCCTGACAATTATTGTCAACAAAAATAGAATAAAATGAAAAAAGCCACCTTTCCTTTTTAGCACCTCCCTGGTCTCTGCTCTAAGGAAAGATACTTCTGTCCCTCTTTTTGCATCTGTTGCTGTTAATCTTTCTACAGATTCATCTTCAAGGAAGAGATTTTCTTTTATCAGTTGTTTTTTTGTACTGATATGAGTTTATAAAGGAAGGGCATAGTAGATGCTGGATTCTTTTTATTTGTCGATTTCTAGAATAACAAGCTGTTGCCCTGGAAACCTCCAACAATGGCTACTGAGGTGTCTTTCCGTGTTTTAGTGTTATTATAAACTCATGGGTCTTTATTTAACTCATGTAAGATTACAGAGTTTGTACTAACTTCCTTGATTTAATACTTGTCTCTTTTTCTCACACATAAAACTTTTAATTCCTTAATAATGTCAAAATGCCATGCTAATAGCATTACTAGTAATGAGAGCATTGAGAACAGGTTAAGAGTTTCTTATGGCTCTTTCTGTTCTTAGGGTTTACTCAGCAAGGATGTACAGTCAAAACACTGTGTTTTTAAGCCACCTGAGATCATTTCTGTGTGTGGTTTATGCTATCAACTTAGTAAATGTACACTTAGGCTTACTTGTTCTTGGCTTTCAGGGGTGACTTTTTTAAAAGTCTGTTTCTGAATTGTGTGAACCTTCACATGGTTCCAAAGACAAAACTATAAAACAGGGTACTTCCTACAGGCGACCGTTTTTATTAGCTTTTGGTTCGTCCTGCCATTTGTTTTCTTTCTGAAAAATATAAGCAAGCACATAAAATAAGTTAAGGGCTGCCTGGTGAGCTCAGTTGGTAGTGTGGTGCTGATCACACCGCCGAGATCAGGGTTCAGGTTTCCATACTGGCCAGCTGCCAACAAACAATAAATGAACTTGAAGAAAAGTTGCAAAAGCACTACAAAGACCACCTCACTCAGAGACCCCGTTCACGTCTCGCCAGCTTTTCCCAGGGACAATCTTCGCAGCAAAGGCGCCACCCAGGGTTGTCACATCTCTAGTCTGCTTCGGTCCAGAGCGGTGCTTTGGCCTGCCCGCCTCTCGGCCCCTGACGCTGCTGAGCACCGACCTTCACTGCGGAGAGTGCCCCACACTCTGGGTGTGTCTGATGTTCGCGCACCGCGAGTTTCAGCGTGCGCGTCTTTGACAGGGTCTTCACAGGAGCAACCTTGTGCCTTCTCCAGGCTCCCGTCAGGGCGCAGGGATGTCGGTCTGTCCCATCGTTGGTCTTAACAGTGGTGCGGCCAGGTTTCCGCACTGCAGAGTTGCTCCTCCCCTCCGTGGGCAGTGCTGTCAGGCAGTGTTGTGGGGAGGGGCTTGCAGAGTCGTGCTTGCCCACCCGCAGCAAACTTCCACCCACTGGTCTTCACAGAGTGAGTCCCTGCTGCTGCTAAGAGACCTGCCCTTCCTGTCACTTCCTGCTCTAAGGACGAGCTGCCCCTCACCCGGTGCACATCTCATCTGCTTGCCTGTTCGTGTGGATGCTCAGGCTCCACTTTATTTCGTAGGTGACAGTTTGTCATTGCTGTCATCTGTTTTCATGCTCACATCATCCCAGCCTTGGCCTTGGGAGGGCTGCAGGCCGGCCTGGTGTCCTCCTCTGGGCGCTTCCTCTCTCCTGCACTCCAGGATGTTCTGGAGTCGTCTTGTGCTCTCAGTCACCTCTCCAAGGAGCACTGGTCCCAATTTGTGGACATGATATTTAGACACCAAGATCTGGCACTAGGTGTGTGCATTGCTGTTAGGTCGTGGTGTCAGGACTCCAGGGAGCCAGCTTGGAGCTGCGAGTCATCTCTGTCTGTGATCATCTCTGGAGGTTCAGACAGCATGAGCTCCCCGAGGCTCACACCTCCCCGTCGGCCCCAGCTCAGCCCTCCCCACGTGAGGCCGGCCCTGCCTCTCAGGCCTGCCCAGTGGCTTTCTCAGTTACTGCAGAAGTTGAGAGGCAGGTACCACATTTGCTGCTGCTGTTTTGTCAGGATCTGAAAGAGACATTTGTCTCCCGTTGTAGCTGTGCTTTTATCAGGCTCTCCTGCTCCTGCCGTCTCTGCCTTCTGTGTTGAGTGGCTCTCATTGAACGCTTACGTTAGGATCGTGGCATCATCTGTCAGCAGCCTTTTCCATGCTACCTCTGCGCCCGACAACTCTTTGCCCATCTCTTCTCATCAGTTCACTGTGCCTTATGAGCAGCAGCACAGCTGGACTTGTGTCTCCTCCCGCACTGGCAGTGTCCCCTCAGCTCACGGCAAGGGTGGCCGCGATGACTCCTTCCACTGTGCCACTACGTCCTCCCCTGCTGTTGGTGGAGGCTGAGCCAGTCCCTTCATCCCTCATGGGGTTGGAAGGGAGCCATTCCTGGGTCTCCATCCACCGTACTTACGCTCAGGATCCGGGCACACCTCGTGCCCAGACACACGCCTGTTCCTGTGCCTGTGCTCATCCTGTCCTGCCAGCCCAGGGTTTGATGAGTGACTGAGCTAGTTGATTTTCTCCTGCAGTGTGTCCCTTGCTGCAGACTCTTCCCCAGCACGCGTACCACAGTGTCTAAACGCGGCCTACCTGTCCATGAGCATCACTCTGCTGCCGGGCTCACTGCCATTCCCCGCCCCTCCCCTGCCTTTGTTCAAGGGTGTGACTCTATAGACAGTCAGCCTCCTCTGCCCCTGCCACATGCAGGCACAACCTGTGCCCACACAGCCCTGTGAGCCAGGTACCAGGGGCACCCAGTATCCACGATGGGGATGCAGGCTGGGGATGGTGGTGCGGTGTCCTGGGGTCCCAGCAGAGTGCTCCCAGAGGCCATCTCAGCCACACAGCCGGCCAGCCCTGCGTCTGCTGTATGTCGCTGGCTTATCCTGGGCCAGGGCTCCAGGTTGCCCCTGGAGGCAGACCTTGCCACTGGGTCCCCACTCTCAGCCCACTCCCCTCCTCTTAGGTGTCCCCAGGTGTCATTGCCAACCCCTTTGCGGCAGGCATCACCCACCGGAACAGCCTGGAAAGCATCTCATCCATTGACCGAGAGCTGAGCCCTGAGGGCCCCGGCAAGGTCAGGATCACAGTGGCTGCAGCCCCAGGGCTAGGAGTCTGCAGCCGGCAGTTCCTGACTGTGTCTTCTCCGCTCACAGGACAAGGAGCTGGCTGGACAGACCCCACACTGGGGACTCGAGGCCGCAGAGGTCCCGGTGAGGCCCCTGGCTCTGACCTGTGGGCTGCCCGCTCCAGTTGGGGCAGTGTAGGGGTGGATACAGCCTGTGGAGTAGTGGGTGACCGCATCCCAGCCCCCCTGCCCTTGTGCCCACTGCTGACCACACCACTTGCAATGTCCCTCCCTCCTGCTGACTGCTAGTGCTATGTCCGCTCTGTTCCCCAGGGCCGGAGTCTGGAGCCCTTGAAGCTGGACTACCGCGCCCTGGCCGCCGTGCCCAGCGCTGGCAGCCTGCGAAGGGTCAGTGTCTACTGTGTGCTGAGTTGCACCCCTGCCCAGCCTCTGTCTGTCCCATGTCCATCTGCCACCTGTCAGTCTCATCCCTGCCTGAGCTCCCTCCCATCACCTGGTGGGCCACTGCCAGGGTCCTCTTGACCAGCTCAGGCCTTACCCACAGGACAAGTGCCAAGGCCATTGTGGAGGGAACCTTCATCTGGGGTGGGGGCTGGGCCTGCAGGGTATCCCAGTAGGATCTCGACCCCCCGCCTAGTATGTGTCTTGTCCCCCTTAATTCTTGACCCAAGCCCTAAGGCAAGTGCTGTACACCCCACCCCCCACCCCCGTCCCATAGGTGAAGAAAAAGGAGCAAGGGAGTAGGGCTGACTCCTTTGAAGGCATTTGGCCTCAGCCCCCACCCCTTGCTCTCGTGTTCGGCGAGCAGGCTGGGTGTGTGGGGGGGTCTGAGCTCAGGCAGGGGCTGCCTGGCCCCAGGGGCGCAGGGCGGGGACAGAGGCAGCTGGAGGCCTCCAGAGCCATCCTGGTGGGGTTGGGCATGTCTGCGGGAGGATGGGTTGGAGCAGCTGCGAGGGGTCATGGGAGGCGGGGGGGCGGTGCTGGAGAGCCCCAGTGCTGACAGCTGGGCTGGGGTGGACACTGGGAAAGTTGTGGGCTTGAGGACAGGCAGGAAGGATATTCGGTCCTTATTCCTCCCCCAAGAGATATAAATGAGCCTCCCAGAGGGTGTGCCCAGCTAGCCGGTGCTGGGAGACCCTGCAGGAACGTTGTGAGTGGTTGAGGGGTGGGCTTGGCCAGGACCTGCCCCAGCCCTGGGGAGGCAGCGAGAGGCCTAGCAGGTCCTGGGGACTGAGAGAGCCCATTTAGGGGCTCTTGGGCACTGATCATGAGCAGCCCGAGACGGGAGCCTCCAGGAAGGGTGGAGGCCCAGCATCGTGTGGTCAAGAAAGGGTCCAGCTGTGGGTGGCTGGTGGAGCCGGGGGTCCCCCTGGCTTGTGCACTGTTGGGATACACAGGAGGGCAGCTGGGAAGCCTGAGCAGTTGGCAGTGGGCACGGCTCAACTCAGAGCCTTGAGGGCTGGGCACTGCAGGTGGGTGGGCTCCCTGTCCCCACCTCTGTCCCCATGCCTCCGTGCAGCTCTGGACTGCACCCTTGGCCTTCCCCCCACCATGCCGGGGGAAGGAGAGGGCCTGGTGAAGTCCAGGCCACCGCCTTTTGGGAAGAACCCCTTCGTACTGGCCAAGAGGTCATCCAAGCCCATCTAGGGGTATCCCCTGGACTGTGGTCAGGTTGGGGAACTGAGGAGCCGTCTCTGTTCCACCAAGGCAGTGCCTGGGCCCCCAATTCCTTTTCCTCCTGAGGCCACAGCCCTGCCTGGCTCCCGACCCACCCAACGTCTGGTTCCTCCAGGTTCCATCTGGGATAGTTGGAGGGAAGATGGCTGAAGCCCTCTACTTTTCCAGCAGCCAGCAGGTGAGCGTCCCCACTGGGTGGAGGAGGACAGTGCAGACAGGTGCTGCTGTGTATTGCCCCCTCCTCTGGGGAGGTGGCTGTCAGGAGAAGGTGCCTGCCTCCCAGCTGCCACTCATCACATTGGGGCTGACCCAGTCTTCCTGCTGATAACGGGGGTTGTGGGGGTTCTGTGTGAGGACACAGCCTGTGGACACCTTCTGATTAGAGCTGGCTGGTGGTGGGGATGGTGGAGCTTGAGCTTGCTGTTCTGGAGGGCTTCAAGCCCTCCTGAGAACCCTAATCAGCATCTCAGGCCCAGTACCACCCTGCCCTTCTTCCTGTCTCTGGGCCTGGGTCCCCCGATCCCACCCCCCACCTGTTATATGGCCAGGCCCAGTCCCTGGGCATCTTCCTCTCAGTGCACTGCAGGGTGGGGGTGGGTGAGCTCCCAGCCTCTGTCCTCACAGATAGAACCTGTGGATGACTGTTGCCCACCCCACCCCATGCCTTTACCTGAACCCCTGACCCTGCTCTCCTCTGGCCCCCACTCCCGCCCTTTGCAGACAAAACTGGGGGTGATCCAGCCATTGGCTCAGGCCTGGCCAAAGGGCTCCCCGGCCCCCAGGGCCAGAGGTGGTACTGGCTGCATGAGTGCCCTGCTCCACCTCGGCAGTGGGGTGGTGGGGCGGGTAGGGCTGACTCCTTTGAAGGCATTTGGCCTCAGCCCCCACCCCTTGCTCTCGTGTTCGGCGAGCAGGCTGGGTGTGTGGGGGGGTCTGAGCTCAGGCAGGGGCTGCCTGGCCCCAGGGGCGCAGGGCGGGGACAGAGGCAGCTGGAGGCCTCCAGAGCCATCCTGGTGGGGTTGGGCATGTCTGCGGGAGGATGGGTTGGAGCAGCTGCGAGGGGTCATGGGAGGCGGGGGGGCGGTGCTGGAGAGCCCCAGTGCTGACAGCTGGGCTGGGGTGGACACTGGGAAAGTTGTGGGCTTGAGGACAGGCAGGAAGGATATTCGGTCCTTATTCCTCCCCCAAGAGATATAAATGAGCCTCCCAGAGGGTGTGCCCAGCTAGCCGGTGCTGGGAGACCCTGCAGGAACTCGCGTGAACAGA